AGTTAGCAATGAAAAATACGTTCTTCCTTTCGGCAATCTTAATCCTTTATGCTTATAAAGCAAACATTAGGCGAAAACTGACCATCCTCCTTGACCTCCTCTGCGGTACACTTCAAAAGAAGGCCCCTTATTTTCTTTTTTGATAGCTTACTATTGAAATCAACATTCAGTATTATCAATGATGGTCAAAGGTATTATTTTTATTGTTATATTAACTTTAAATATGTACAGAGTGGAACAGCAGCATAATCATTTCAGGGCAGAAAAAATGTGTTTTGAAGCGAAATAGTCTAAATATTCGGAGAAGCATAGTGATTGTAAAATTGGATTTTTGACCATATTTGAGCAAATAAGATAACATTTTATATTAATTTTAATAGAGATTAGGAAAAAATGCATTATTAAATAAAAAGATGTAATAGTAACGCAATAAAGAACTAGTGTTCAATATTTATTTCTGTAGGCTTATATTGTATTTAAATAAATATGCAGTTTAAATAATTTTAGAAGACTGTTAAGTGTACAGACCTGTTTGTTCATTTCCACATGGTTTTTCAAATTATATCTTTAATACGATGTTATTACAAAAAACGAATTTTCAATTTCTTTCATCACTTTTTTAACAACTGAATTAACCCACAACATAAATCCCCATCATATACCGATCTTTCTTTTTTTTTTTTTTTACATATTTTTGTTTCCTATTTTTTTGATATTTTTAATTACATACGGTAATTAAAAATTTCAAAAAATAGGCAGTAATGATACATTTGAACTTCGTATAAGTAATGCCTATTTGTTTATGATGTATTCGAAAATTACTTTTTGACACATCTGACTCCATAGTAATTTTACGCTTTCAGATTATTTTTTCGATCATTTCAACTTGATTTTTCTAACCTCGATATTTTAAACACGATATCATTATAACACGTGTATGTCGAATTTTAAAATATTAATTTTAGACTTGATCTATTTGTGTCGATTCTATAGTAAAATCTCATCATTTATAGATTTTTTATCAACCCTTTCCCCATAGCGTTTCCAATTCCAATATTTCTAATAGTACAATGTTATATTATGACAACAGTGATTCTGCTATTCTGTAGAAACTACGGGTTTTAGGACCATATTTCTGGGTCCTTTTTTTTACAAAAGCAAATCCTTATTTAAAATATTAACTCTCCACCTTTTTCAGGCAACATAGCCAAATTTTTCAACATAAAATAAACATCCTTTGAGTTTTTCAAAATCACAATTGGTTAAACTTGAATTTATAAAAGTGATTGGGAGAAATTTTTAGATTTCAACAAATATTATTTGTAAATACATACTAAACAAAAACATTTACAGCATTAATATTAATGATCATATTGATCTGATAATGAAGTGTTGAGAATTAAACAAACTAACAAAACCTTAAGAAATTCATATTACAAAAGAATACATATTACGTGAATCCTTCCCAACAAATCTAGCTCAGTACGCGCTTATGCGAGTTGTACATTCCTCATAAAAAATGATTGGCACTTTTATATGACATATAGCAGTATGCAGAAACAGATTATGGCACAATCAGTCAGTAGGGAATGAGGACGGAATAGGCAGGTTCATAGGGCATTGGTCTCATGTCCAAGAGGTCGTGGGTTCAATCATCGCCGCTTAGACTCCCCGTGTAGTAAATAGTGACTGATGCACGTTAAATCTGTAGAGTCTCAAAGTCCTCCATGTACCCATAACAAATCAATACCTCTGGCGGTACTGATCCAGGAGTTTCCTTGTCTTCCGGATTGGTTCAAAATTACAAGGCTAGGAAGTTGAACATTAGTTGTAAATCCAAAATTGGTCTGCTGTTCAAAGACGGTTATAAAATAAAATAAAATCAGTAGGGGATGAGCCGCGATGGCTCAGGGGATAGAGCGTTCGCCTCCCAATGGGGCGAACCGAGTTCGAATTCCAGTCGATACGAATTCTGCATCCGGCTTGCACTGACCACAGTTCTGATGTGAAATATCCTCACTGGTAGACGGATCATGGGTTAGAGTCCCCTTGCCGTTAGGCTAACCGTGGGAGGTTCTCTTGGTCTTCCTCTTCATGTAACGCTAATGCAGGTTAGCTCCATCAAAAAGTCCTGCACGAAGGCAAATTTCTCCCAATACTCGATCTAGGAGTTCCCTTGTCTTCTGGATTTGGTTCAAAATTACAAGGCTACGGAGTTGAAAATTAGTAGTCGTAAACCCATAAAATTGGGTCGGTTGTCAACGACGGTTATAATATAAAATAGAAAAATAAGTAGGGAATTCATTTAACAGAACATTGCAAAATCCACGCTTTTTATGGATTTATGGCAACAATTGACAAGACAAAATAAAAAATCTCTTTTTGGAGAAGAAAAATAAAGCACTTTTTAGAAACACCCAAAGTAAAAAGCAAGTTTAAGACCTTTTAAAAAACGATAGTAAAAAATACTCACCTTTAAGCACTTTTTAAAAAAGCTATGCACCCTGTTTNGAATTCTGCATACGGCTTGCACTGACCACAGTTCTGACGTGAAATATCGTGGTAGATGGATCATGGATTAGAGTCCCCTTGCCATTAAACCGTTGGAGGTTCTCTTGGTCTTCCTCTCCATGTAACGCAAATGCAGGTTAGCTCCATCAAAAAGTCCTGCACGAAGGCAAATTTCACCCAATACTCGATCTAGGAGTTCCCTTGTCTTCTGGATTTGGTTCAAAATTACAAGGCTACGAAGTTGAACATTAGTAGTCGTAAACCCATAAAATTGGGTCGGCTGTCAACGACGGTTATAATATAAAACAGAAAAATAAGTAGGGAATTCATTTCATCGAACATTGCAAAAACCAGGCTTTTTATGGATTTATGGCAACAATTGATAAGACACAATAAAAAATCTGTTTTTGGAGAAGAAAAATAAAGCACTTTTTAGAAACACCCAACTTAAAAAGCACCTTTAAGAGCTTTTAAAAGAAGATAGTAAAAAATATTCACCTTCAAGCACTTTTTAAAAAAGCTATACACCCCGTTTTTATCAATCAATATACTCATTAAAAATTCTTCTATCGGTAGAAAAAAAATTCAAAACAAGAGTTATAGACAATTAAGTCTTTTAATTAGGACAGATCAAATGTTTGCATCAAGTAAAAGCAACAATGTAATTTGATATGATAGAAAAAGATTAAAAAAGAATAAAGATTGATAAGAAAAAGATTTTTGTTCATATTAATACAAAAGTTCTGTTATAATTTAGCTTATAGTTAGGGAATTGCATGTCCCAAAGGATGCATCATAACTTATTTTTCAAGTTCCCTCTGCAATTTTTGGCAAATTTGATGCGTTTATCAGGGTGTGTAGTCATATTTTTCGACGAAAAATAAGCACCTTTTAAGTACTTTTCAAGCACTCAAAAATATTTTAAGCACTTTTCAAGCACTCAAAAATATTTTTAAGCACTATGTACATTAACAAAATGCAAAATAATTTTCAAAGACTTTACATGATCATGATGAAAATAGCTAGTTTCTGACAGAGAACTTTTTTCTTGATTATATTAGTTATTATAAAATGATTGAGAGATTTTCGGTTCGATATCAGAGGGCGGAAAATGAAGCCTGAAATTGAGAGTATCTTGCAAAATGCAGCAGAGTTGCACATGAGAGTGCAAAAATCTCACCGAACCCAGCTCAGTAGACGCACCTGCGGACTCGCAAGTATTTTATCTAACATGTAAAATGATTGGCGCTTTCATACGCTATGGACCGACAGTACAACCAAATGTATAATTGTTGAATGAATTGTGAAAATGTTGGATAGAACAATGTAAAAGCTTGCTTTTGTTTAATAAAAATGCACGCTTTACCATGGCGAAAATCGACATGTTAAAGAAAAAAAATCTCATTTTGGAAAAGGGAAAATTAAGCACTTTTTAAAAGCACCCAATGAAAGAAGTACCCTTAAAGGCTTTTAAAAAACGAAAATAAGCACCTGTAAGCACGTTTTAAAAACGCTACCCACCATGGTTATAATACTTATTTCATTATTTTAGTAATAGCTTCTTGACAGGCTCCATTCAATGGGGGAGAAAAAGCACCTAACTAAACTTGTAATCGACACAGGTAAGAAACGAAAATTATTTGCTGTTTTGAAGCAACAAAACTGACTTTTGCACACAAATTTGGCTAAAGTTGAGCTTTTTGCCCAATGAATAGTGTTACAGTTTTGGATCAGGTTGGAGTAATTTTGGGGGAAAATGGCATTTTGGAGATGGCTGGAGCAGAAATTTATTGTTTTGGAGCGATTTCAGCAGCTGTTCCAACCCCTGTATGTTTCTTAACAACAAAAAGCTCTCTACAGTTAACCTGATGGCAAGAGGATTCTAACCCATGACGTGTCTACCACTGAGAATATTCTATGTCAGCAGAGTGGTTGGTATGAGCTCGTGGCAAAATTCATATTGATCAACCAATGCTAGGATTCGAACCAGGTTCACCTCATTGGGCTGTGAGCACTCTATGCCTTGAGCCACGGCAGTTGAATACTATTATGACACACTTTTACTGAATATTTAGAATTATTTTCAAAATGAAATAAAAAATATACATCAGAGATTCAAAATCTATGGCCTGTGGGAGAAAAGTGGTCCCCAAAAGCTTTTAACTTTACCCCTGAACTGTCAAAATATTAATGAAAATATAAGAGAAAAAAAAAGAGTAAAAATTTTTTCCTTTTTTTTTTAGCCATTTTTTTTTTTAGCTTTTTTTCTTCTAGTTTACAGCCTTTCTCAAACTATGAAAATGCGACTATGCGCTTATTTCATTATGAAAGTTTTCAGAGTTAGCGGTGAAAAGTAATTACTTACAAATTTGAGCAAATAAATTAAAAGAGAAGGAAAAAATTTTTCGAGAATAGATAAGATAAATAAAAAAAATTATAACTATACATATCACTAAATTCATTTTCCAAACAAAACATGCAGCGAAAAGCACAGCTAATGTAATTTATTTTTAAGGTGCTGAAGTATTTGGTACATAGATTCACGATTTGCTTCATCAGGGCAATTCATTTCAATTAACACAAAATCTTTGGCTCGCCTTATTTTTAATGTACAAAACAATAAAGATTTAGGTTCAAAGTTCACATCACTTATATCTTCAGCTTTAATAAGATTTGTCGCTTTATTTTGAACCCTTTCAGATTCTTTAAAGTCCTCACTATGTATAGTTGATTCAGAATCACGAACAATATCCATCCATTCTTCTTTGGGCTTCTTTAGAAGATGGCTTGAAGTGGAACTCTGTTGGTTTGAATCATCAACTGAACTATCTTTAGAACACTGATTAATGAGTTCCGAGGTTGGCTCGATTTGTTCTGACTGCTCTAAACTTATTCGTGGCTTTTTACACACTGAAGAATTATCTTCAACCAGTCTACGTTTCTTGAAAGTGTGACCTGAGCTTATGCATCCTTCTTCAGGTGCAGCCCTTTTTAAATCTTCTTTTTCTTTTTTGGCAAATAAAGATATGTTCTTTGAAGCCAGAAAACTATCAGTTTCACCAGAAGCATCAGTTATGACAATGGAAGGTGTTGTACTTATGTCAGCTGATTTGACAGATTTAGAATCAGTATTAATTTCAATCAGTTCTTGCTTCTGTTGATTGGAATCAGAGTTATCAGCTGAAATATCTTTAGAACACTGACTAACGGGTTCATGCCTCATTTCATTCTGCTCTGATTGTTCAGAATCTATTCGTGGCTTTTTACAACTTGAAGAGTTATCTTCAACCAATTTACGTTTTTTGAAAGAATTATCAAAGCTCATATGACTTTCTTCAGATGCAGGCGGTTTTAAATTTTCACTTTCAATTTTAGTAGCTAAAGATTTGCCTTTTGAGGCATAAAAACTAGCAGTTTCACCAACTTGTGCACCAGTCATCGATACAGAACTGGTTGAAGTTATATCAGCTGATTTGGGAGATTTAGACTCAGTATTGGCAGTTATTAGCTCACACTCAGAGATTTTATTTGGTGATAAATTAATGTCACCAGTGTTTTCCACGTTGTGCTTCATTTCTCTCCTTTTTCTTCGTTGATGTGACCATGTGTTATTATCAGTAGTAATTTGACTTTCAGTGTAATGTTCATGTACTCGAACAACTTTAATTAGAATCTGTAATAGAAAATAAAATTAAACTATTGCCCCACATTTAAAAGATTTAGTTTAACAATTTTATTTTTGGAAAAAATTATTTCGGATTATAAGGGTTATACTATCTCACATATATTATTTTTTTTATAGAAAGGAATTTTTTAATATTTTTAATTTGAAAATTTAGGCCTGGAATCTCGTGAATTTATAGTGCCATAGAAAATATTTAGAAATAAGCATTAACAAAATATTTTTATTATGAAGTCTGATGCTTAGTACTCATTTTATTGACCCACTGAAGGAATGAAAGGCTGAGTCAGTCTTGCCCAGTCCGAGCATAGAACCCTAGATGTGTAGCAAAGCGCTACCACTCAGCCACCAGTTTTCGCTCAATTTTAAATTTAAAATAGAGATACCTAAATAAAAATAAAATTTCACAATATTTAAATAAGGAATATTTAAAATTGACTGAGCAATATTGCATAATTAAATCAGCAAGCAATAAACTGAATGAAAAATATATTTGAATTTATTATTTTTTTAAAACTTTACTAATCATAGGAATGCGCACATACCAAAAGAATTTTCAATTTAATATAGAGTCCATGTTGGAGTGGCAAAATTCAGCAAGATAGACAGATACGAATTAAGGATACATTACAGAAACTACAAATATTTTTCAATAAAAATACTTAATTGGTCAAATAAAGCTTAAATTAATAACATCAATCTAAAATGTGTTTTTGAGAGCAATTAATTTCAAGTTCTACAAGACAACACTAAAGACTTGAACAAAACATACTTGACTTATAAAAACATGATAAAAAAATCTTATTCTCTTTAGGAATTAAGGAATGCATTATTTAAATTTTTGAGCTTTAAATTATGCAATAAAACCATTGTGTAATTTTGAATTAAAAAACAAATCTAAACAAATTACAAAAATAAATGTAAGTAAGTTTCAAGCTCTGAATAATTTCTACAATGACTGGATAATAAAAGAAATCATACCTTTAAATCTTTCAATGTGTTCCAAATGATTTTTGACAACTCCTGCACATTATAATTAGGGCATTTAATATCTTTAGGAATAGGATGAACAAGGGGTGGCTTAACTTTTTTAGTTTTCTTTGGTTTGGGCTTTTCAATCTGGAATTAAAAACTACATCAACAATACAAAACTTAGTAAGGCAATACAAAAATATAGAGTAGAGAAACTACATAATAGTATAAAAATAAAAAAACATGACACGTTTGAAAATCGCATGATACATAATGAATCAATCATCTTACATTTTTTTACACAATAATAAAGCGCATTTATATAAACATTTATTCAATGGGAAATGCCAATGCCAATTATTCAGAAAATGCCAAAAAAATAATTTTAAATTTTAGGAATTATTGATTTGTATAAAAAAAAATATTTTGCAATTAAAATACAATATACTTAATACAGATAGTTTGGTCAGGAGAGTGCTCCAAAGTTTGGACTCCTTAATGCTAATTTTACTTTTTGTGGATTTCGCTATATCTCGAGAACTTTTTAAGTGAATTGAAGAATTTTTACACACTATTATAAAATTTGTTTATCAAAAGATAATTCCATGCAAAAAACAAAAACTTTTAATAAATATTTATTATCTTATTTAAGAATAGTTAAAAAAAAGTTTTGAATGGTAAGATATATAATTTTCTGCATAAAGAATGTAATTTTATGTAGAAAAATACAAAATTGGAACAAAATCAGTCGAATCGTTCCTGAAAAATCAAATTTTAAGTATCTAACTTTTTCGAAATCTGATTTCTCATGAACTATTAGGTTGATTGAAGTAAAATTAACATTAAGGGGTACTAACTTTGGAGCGCTCTCCCGATCAAACTATAGGGACCATATTCCCTAGATTACGGCTACCCCCTACGTTTTGGAGGTCAGAAATCCAAATCCATAAAAAAAGGTACATTTATTCAGATAAATTAAGTTTCTCTGTCTGATTTTATAACTTAAAAATCACCCGCACTTATTAATTAGCATATTTGAGGTCACCCCCTCGAGCCATTGAGATTGAGCCTTAAACAGGCATGAAAGTGGATAAAAATAAAAAAAGCTGAACTTTTACAATGCAGGCCACTGAGAGGAGAGGGGGGGAGGAGGAGTGCTCTATATGATACTGAAATTTATAAAAGCAACTTATAACTATGCTGGGAGATTTTAGTTTAATATTTAAAGTGGCAGAAGCATTTAGACAGCTAAGTTTAAATTTTTCTTAAATATAATTTTAAAATTGTGACCACTACTATATTAAAAAAAAATGAAGCAATTATAGGAATGCACGACTATTAAATTACTTACTAATGAAAAATATACCACATCTTTACAGTAGCTAATTCAAGAGAAAACTTACTTCTACTTCTTTCAAGAATCGCGATATTGGATTTTAAAATCGCGTGAATATGAATCACAATATTGAATTTTAAAATCACGTGAATATGAATAGCGACTTTGGATTTCAAAATCGCGTGAATATGAATCGCGATATTGCATTTTAAAATCGCGTGAATATGAATCGCTCTGTTGGATTTTAAAAACACGAAAATACAAATTGCGATATGGAATTTTTAAATCGCGTAATTAAGAATCGTGATGCATAAATTTTAGATCACGTGAATACGAATCGCAACGAGTAATTTTTAAATAGCGTACAAATAATAAATACCTGATATTACAACTGCTTGATAACGAATCGCAATATTGGATTTAAAAATGCGTGAATATGAATCGCGATGTTGGATTCTAAACTCGCGAGAATACAAATCACGATATTGGGTTTTAAAAACGCTTTACAAATCGCGATATTGAATTTTTAAATTGAGTGAATAGGAATTGCTAGTACGGCTTTTAAATCGCAACGCGTAACTTTCAAATCAGTTAAATACGAAAATCGATGATTGATATTAAAATCGTCTGATTAAAAATCGCGATTTTAGCAGATTCCGGTGCAGCTCCTAATATTTAAAATTCTGAAAATCAGCCAAACAAAAGAAATTAACTATCAGCGGTCGGAAACGAAACGCTTAGACTCCTTTCCACTCTATAGCGGATGTTGTAGTAATCTGACTATCGTTCGGGGGCTTGGGATCTCTAATTGGACTTCCCAAAAATTTTAGTTTTTGGAACATGGTCGGAAATTTTAAAAATTGGGAGAAAAAAGCGCTTTTTCTTCCGCTTTTTCGCGGAAGTCTTTCATCCCTGCTTAAAACATAAAAATCTGATCATTAGATCAAAAGTCATTCAGGATGTCTTTTTTTTTAAGCAATGCACAATGCAACCATACATCAAAGAAACCACAATAATGCAATCATTCATGAATCAAAAGCCATAATGAAATAATAGTTTTGCAATTTTCTTTTCTCCCTCCCCCAAATTAATTCTTCCCCTTACTATACACTACACATAAAATAAATTTATCAAAAAAATTTAATTAGGAAAAACTATTGATGAAATCTAAGTATAAACCTTACCAAAAGCTGAATTAAGAAGTTAACAGATAACAAATAAGAAAAATCTGAAAAAGGTATTATGATTTTAATATTTATTTATAGAAATCCTAATTACTAATTCATGGAAAAATCAAATGCAAGTATTTGGAATATTGTTCAAACCAGATAATTTACATAGTTTTTCTTTTAATAATTAAGTATAACATTCCACTTACGGTTCCAAAGTTAACAGATTTCTCGAAAGTCCATGCAATACCCCACCTAATAGTGTTGCCTTGACAGAACTGACTTTTGGTAACTGCAATGTCCTAGAGAAAAGAAATCATGAAAATTAACAAAACATATAAAATATAGTCAACAATGCCTTCTTAACTATAGTAGAACGTCATTTATTTGGATGCCCATTAACAGAATTAGCCATAACTGTATCATTCAAGGACCACATTTTTTTTATTGTCGTCTTCAAATCAATTTTTACCCAGAAAGTCAGTTTTATTTTTAGATTCATGGATAAAAAGAAAAACATGCGCATCTTCATCAAGTTTTTGCATAGTTAATATCTTTTTTCTTCCCTACTTCACAATATTTAAGAGTTTTAAACAATCTGAAGCTACAAATTAGGTTGAATAGATAAGATACCAAAATCACTTTTTGTGTGATTCATAAATTTTAAATCCAATTCAATAAACCAAAGTTTAGTATTTTAAGTTAAGTCTTATCTTTAAATCAAATTAACAAAAGGTTGACTATCAATTGCTAAAACAACTTGCTAGCTCAATATTTTTTATAAATTAACAACTTTTTTTTATTGTATATTTCTTTTCTCATGGTTTATAAAACACATAACCAAGTTTCAATGAGAGAAAACTACGTTGGTCAAAACAGAAAAACTCTGATTACAACCACCCTATGTAAAAACATACATGGAATTTTATCTTGTAGTTTGGCCCTAGATTATATCTTTGGTCTTTAAAATATTTGGGACCATTTCTTGAATTGAATAAAAACTAGAGAAGTTCCTTTACATAAATCTCAGATAAAAGTAATAGCGTTTTAAATAATCTCAGAAAAGGTTGAAATCAGGTGGAATTCAGAAGAAAAATGCTATGCCTGGGAAATTTTGAATTTTCAATTAGACATTTCATAGGAGTAAAATATAATTTGTTTTAATTTTAAATAAACAGTGCTACAGTGACTCAAGTATGAGGCAATTACATTTCTTTTAAATTAAAGATAACTTTTATATCTAATATGCCAAGCCAGAGCAGAAAAAACGAAGGTTTAGTAATCATTGAACAAAATACAACTCTGAACAATCATATAAATTTATTAAGTTACAAATAGATAACTCGGCCATCATCACTCAGTGGTTAAGGCACTGAACTGTCATTGTGAAGAACTTAGGTTCAATCCCAGAGGCAGCTTGGAGTTCACCCATCTCCCTGGCGGATAGCCGGATATTGATGTTAAATTTAAGTATGGATATTTATCACTTCTTAAATTAGCTTACCAAACCCATTTTAACCAATACCCCCATATCACTTGTACTAGAAGCTTATTCCTCATTTTTCAAAATTTATAACAGTTCGATATTAATTCAGATTGTTTCCTACCATGTTTTGCAAATCAAACAATATATATTCCAATTATTAAAAATATAAATAAATAAAATAGTAATGCAACAAGTGTGTCATTAATCACTTACACACCCATTATAGTTATTTTTTTTTACTAATACTTGAATTTGCAGTGTGGAGCTTGAAAGGATATAACAAATTATTTTTAATATGTAATATAGTTTTCTGAGCCGTTTTCATTTGTAAGAGTTAAAAAGTAGACTTGCAAACATAAGTTGAAATAAATACAGTCAATATCCTCATTTAGGTTTTTCTTCAAATTTTTAATATGGCTCATCATTGAAGAACAAAATTTTGCTTCCAACACGGTTTTACTTGGGAACTAATTTTCATTTAAAGTAATATATTTTGCAAAGAGCCAAAACTTTTTTAATATCAAATGCTGTAAAAATCTTTCTTTTTATTTTCAAATACTGGAAGAACTTATTCACGACCATAAACAAAGGAGAACAATTTCTCAAACATTGCAACCATTTCACCTGTTAAATTTTATCTCCAAATTTTAAATCTTTTTCATATAAATTTTACTTTACAGTAAAAACTTAGAAAAAAAAATTCAAACGGAAAAACATAGAAAAAATACTTACTTTAATACCCTGAAGTACTTTGAAAATTTCAACAAAACTTTTTTTCTTTCCAAACATCGATGTATATAATCTGTAACAAACATGATCAAATTCAAATACATATACCTACAGAGTGCTGCAAAAAAACTTAGCCAAAGTTATTCCATCATAGAATAGAAGATAAATTTATTTTTAATCTGTGCATTTACTTCTTTTTTCGACCACTTTAATTATAACATATCTATTAGTTTACATATTATTATCTTTTTCGGGGGGGGGGGGGGCTTTTACATTGTCANCAAGAAAAAGATTTGCTTTTTTTTTTTTTAGTTGTTTAGACAAAGAAAACAACAATGAGAACTTGTCTATTTGCTAATGTGTCTCGGCAACCTGCACTAAATCACACAAAAGTTTAGACTCTCCAAAGCGCAAACCTTTAGAGAAAATGGGATAGATTGAAGGTAGAAGACTTGGGGCCTACTGGTTGAAAATTTCAATTAATGTTTGCATCTCTGCAAAAGAAGACATCTTCAAAGCCAATTTATTTATTAGTAAAGGTCTACTTTTATAATTAATTGTTATATTTTGTTAATTTATTTGTTTTTAATTAAGTTATATTAAAAATTGTTAGCCTCACTCTGTATATTACTCACTATTTACTTTTAATTTTATTAAAATAATTTATTACAAGAACTTTAAAGTTAAAATAAGAGAGAGAAAAATAAAGATAGCAAATCTTAAAAAAACATTTAAAAAAAATACCTAGAAGTAAATTACTATGTAAAAATCGGAGCAAAAAAATTAAATATTTATCAAACAAATTAATGCTTTATATCAATAGTTAAATAATATTTTTTAAATTAAAATAGGAAAGAAATTTGCTTTTTGTATTCTAGTTTATATTTCAGGAAAAAAAAATACAGTTAACTTTTGATTATCATGGAATACCACATTTTTTTCGTTATCTGTGGCAAAAATAACATGATAAACAGGAAAAAATATTATTTTGGAAAAGTGAAAATAAAGCTCTTTTTAAAAACATGACGCACATACTACGTACTACAAATTCAAACACAGTTAGATCAGCTACAAGTGACATTTTTCAATGTTTGACAAGAATACAAAAATTTTGTTACTGATCAGTGACCAGCATTTTTAACAAATACCTCCATTTAAAACATGCGGCCACTTTTTCAAATATTTAAAATTTTAAACAATGAAAAAAAATTGATTGAAGCATTTAAAAATAATAAACATTACAAGATTTGTTTCGAAAATGTATTGAAATTTAAAAAAACAAATTAAAAATAAAGCATTTTTAAATATTCATAACAATTCTATAATTATTCAAAAACTTTTTTTGACAACATTTTCAACTAATAAAGCATTAATTTTGTCCTATAGATGAACCTTATTTTGGCTACTAGCAATTTTTTACACTAGCAAACTTTGCTACTGATTTTAAGATATGAAATCATATTGGAGTCTGGCAATCTTTTTACCTGCCCTACAATAATTTATGTTTTATTAAATATTAATTAAAATTAGAGAAAATAGTAAAAGAGGTCCCTAAAATTATATCTGCAGACACCATAACGTCCCTCAAGCTTTTTGCATGTCCTCCCCACTGCGCAACCACTATTAAAAAATTTTTAGTTTTTAACAAAATGCTTTGTAAAAGTATAAATTCCAACCGTAAATTCACCCTTGAATAAATAAATGTTACATTAATACATTCACTTTAATGTAATTAAATATTTTAATCAATACAATTCCACCTCCTTTTGAGTGTACAGTATAAAGGAGAAAACATTTTTTTAAAGTTTATACACACATGCATTTATTAAAATTTTAAACAAATAGATAATAATTGGAAACTACACTAACTTTATTCTGTTTTTGAATATTAAACTTTCTTCAATAATTCTTTTCACAAAAGCTACTTCTCCACCTTCAGCAAAAATTTCTTCTTTCTTGACAATTGTTGTTATACTTTCTTTCACTCTAGGGGGTTTCTTCCTAATATCTTCCATGTTTTCAAAGAAGGGTGGATTGCAGAGGCAAAAATCATAATCTTCATTTGAGGACAATACTTCTCTTAAAGCACTATTTGAATCAACTTTCATAACTATCCAAAAATAAAATGAAATAAATTAATTAATTTTAGAATCTAATGTTTCATCATAAATTAAAAATATATACTTTGATTTCAAGGAAAAATTTTTTGAAACATCATATGTTTCAAAATAAGGACAGTTAAACAACTGTCAGGAGAAAGTTAAACAACTGTTAACTGTCTCCTTTGGAAATAAACAGATTTTTGAGAAAATGCTTTTTTATTTCCTGTAATGTAATAACATAAAAAAAATTATATGGCTAAACTGGAAAGCACGTAAATTGAAAAACAGTTTTTAACACACAAAATAACCATCAGACTTAGATAAAATGAAAAACTTTCTGTGAACACACTATTTCAATTCTTTCATTAAGCAATTTTTTGACTCTTGTTACTAGTTTCAACCCTTTCGTCTCCAACCAATTTTGAGGAAATTTGTTCAAAAAATCATGGATAATCATGGAATTTTTAATTTTTTATAATACTTTATATTGATCAATATACATATCAGTATATATTTTTTTAAATTTAGTAGTTTTGTCTGAATCGAAAGTTGTGACAGAAATGGGTCTGCAGGAATAACAATAATCCATCACATCAACATCTTTCATTGTGTTTTTTAAAATGTAGCTTTGAAACAGTCTGCTGATATTGAAAGTTTTTCAAACCTTTTGATATACCCAAGAATAAGATAAAATTGTGCATTTTCCTTTACTGGATTTTCAATAAATAATGTAAAACTTTTCCAGAATAGTTTTTAAAAAATATGATGACTATGAAAATTATGACTATTTTAGAAAAACATTAACCATTATATATATGTGATGGTAACAAATTTTTCTACTGAATTCGCATGTTCGTGTATATTTATGCATGATTGCATCAGAAGGCTACATTTCGTAAATTAAAAGCGGTTAAATATTAAAGATACAAGGTGGTTAAAAATAAAAGTTACCTTCTTTAAGCCAATTTAGTGCTCACTGTGGTAGACAAATATTAATGAAATTTGTTGTATACATCTTATGGACCATGGAAAAAAGAAATCTAATATTAGAAAAGTGGTCATTTACAAAAAAAGGACATTAATGCAATTTAACGTTATGAAAGACCTCTGTGGTAGAATCGCAGCGACATTGTCGCAGAATGTTACAGAGTTCTTGTAGAAAGATTTTTCCTTCAGAAAAGAAAAAAAAAAATATTTGTTTTCTTTTCTGCAAAAACCTTCCAAATTTTTTTTCTCTATAAAATTATATTTAAAAGATGCCTTTTTCGTGCATCGGAGGGGAAAGAAATGTTCTTAATTTTTCGATTCTTATTTGAGATGAATGAAAAATAAAGAATATTGAAGCAAAAAATTTCTTTTTTGCAAAAATTTTAGAAAGATTTTTTTCCCTTTTCACAATTATACTAAAGAGATACCTTTTTCACGCACCAGAGTGGAAGAATGTTCGTGATTTTTTTTTTAATTTCCTTTTGGGGGGGGGAATGGTTTTCTTTTCTTTCACTGATTTTTAATTATAATTTTTTCATGTGATGATGATTTACGAAATGAGGAAAAATAAATAATTAGTGTGTTTTTCTCTTACAAAATGTGAGAATATCACCCATGATATTAGAATAAAAAATATTACATATTCATTATAAAAAAAATACATACAATTTTATTATATCCAAATAGGCTTTTCTTTGCAAATACAACGTTTCTGTTACTTTAAATTTAATTAATAACATGTATATTAGTTATTATTAATAGTATCTTGCAGAAAGATATTAGTGCTAGAGAGGTTTGTCATAGAAAGCTCAAAAAAATTCTGCCACAGGGTGAAAGACATTAGTCATCATGAAATTACTTTTTATGTTTTTGCTTCTGTAACTGCAAAATACAGAATTGCCTTTGCGCTTTACTTGAATTCACCAAGAAGAAATTTGACAATTTTATTCACTATGATGATTGGCAAAAATTCAGTCATATTGAACATACAATGCGAATAAATAAAGTTTTGCATCTCCAGTTAGAGCTTTTCATTATTCTACGAGTGACGTTTCTCACCTGGCGCTAGAAAATGTAATTAATTATTTTCATTGTAGATTTCTTTTTCCCTTGGTCTATAAAACACATTTTGAGTTTTCATGACATTCATCACCTAGAACAGACTTTATGTTAATCATAACAGGATTGCTTTTTATAAGGGCAATTCCATGATATAAAGGACAGCATAATAAAATATTAAACAATTAATAGCATCTGTCAACTAATAAATTACTTAATTTTTGTTAACTATTTCAGATATAAAATAAAAAATTGTAGTTTTTAAGTATTTTGTAATAATAATAATAATAAAAGAATTATTAAAAGTTATATAGTTTGTATTTGTAATACGTATTTGTGCATAAATATTGTAACATCAGTCAAGAGAGTGTTTCATCTATTTACCACTTTCTAAAAGTCACATCATGTGCGCTTTCAAAGCTTCCTGTTAATTTGAAGTTTTTTCAAATAAATTTTTAAAAAAACAATAACATTATTGCTTACAGAAGAAAGAGAATTAAAAAAAAAATCATGTTTTAAACCATGTTCTTTCCAAGTAACATCAGTCACATTTTATATTTTTATTCTTGATAAAACATCATATTTTCATAATTATAAATAATTTTTACACCTTTTTCTTATATGCAGTTTTATATGCATATAGGCTATTGAAAAACACTCTACTTAAAAAAAAAAAAACTAAACATTTATCGATAAAAAAAAAAGTTTAAAAATAAGAAAACCTATCAAAATGTAATGTCAGTCAAAATGAAATTGGAGATTACCACCTTAAATAAAAACATCTCTGTATCTTGTCGGTCTATAAAATGTCTGCAACTATTTCATACTATGTTTTAAATCTTAGCAAAAACAATTCCATTATAGGTACTTCATAAATTAAAGTAATGCCTACATGTTGTAGAAGTAATTTTCTTTTACTTTTAATCTAACATTGCATTCTCAAAAAAAAATATATTTTTCTAGCTGTCACGTTTCCAACCCATAGTCATATTTTTACTTCAGCAATGCATTATTTTAAAAAATCCTTACAGCAAAAGAAAATTTCTTGTTAGATTTCGAATCACACTTTAAAATCAGACCTTTAATCAAAGAACCCAAATCATTAGCTTTGATGTTATTAAGAGCCCACTGCAAAGATTCTCCAGAAGTTTCTGTAGCTGTAAACATCCATCCGTTCTTTTTGGCACCAAGGATTGAAAATATAGCACAAGGTCCACATCCTAAAAAATTAAAGAAAATTTACTCTATCTGGAGAAATAAATAACTAAATATTAAGAGACAAAAATCTTAATAATGCACACCATTTGTCTATATTACAGTTAATTATAGTCAAATAAAAGCGCAAAAAATTCTCAGAGCCTAATATTTTCCCAAAACACAGCTTAATTAGTTTGAAATTTCTCCTGAATTTCTAGAAATTTTTTTTAGTTACAATAACTTTTTCAAAATATCTTGAGAAATTAAAGTTTGAACATATTTAAAGTTTTTGGATTGTTATTTCTTTTCTTAAACATAGAAAAAAACATTAATTTGATTTTACACAATATTTTGATAAACTAACATATGCGTTAAAAATAATTAGAAACCAAAATACATTGAAATAGTAATCATAAATTTATAAAACTATAGGTCCCTCTTATAAACCTAAGAAATTCAAATTAATAAATTATTACATTGTCAAGAATGGAAGTTACTTGTGTTATACTCAAGCTAACAGACATAATAAACAATCACTTCATTCTTTACCTTAGAAGAAAATGTTTCCTGATAGGCATGTGCAGCAAGGAAGGGAAGAAGTATCACACTTTTGCCTATTAACGCAGTCCTCGTTCTTCCCACTTGTAAATTTTTTTTTTGCAAGAATAATTTTGAATTTCTGTTTTTTTTTTTTTTTTTTAATTCATCNTTTTTTACTCAGTTTTATAAGTCTGCCTGAATATCTATTGTGAATCACCCTGTAATCAAATAATTTTCTTTGATCCATGTAAAGAAACTGTTAAATTTATGTCGTATATGGAAAACTAAAACAATAAGACAGGTAGGAACTTCGTTTATGTCACACTAAAGCTGCACAATGGGCTACTGCCAATGGTCTGGGATACATCCCTGAGGATGATCTGAAGACATATCATCACAATTTCGATCCTCTGCAGGAGGTGGCTCCCCCCGCTGTGGTAGCTCGACGACCTGCGTACGAAGTCAAGCATTTTACGGTAGAACAGTTTAATGAGGACCAATAACACGTACTCTCGGTACCTACGCAGGTTGATCATAGTGATCACCCACCTGCTTACTGACAGCAGCGAGCGATGCTTGACTTAGGTGTTCTACTGGGAATCGTGTCTTTACGATCAGTCCACTGTGGGATAAAACAATAATAAAAGAGCATAAATAATGTTCCATAGACAGATTTACAATCATTTTGGAACAAAAACAAAGCATTTTTGCATGTATTAAAGCACAGAATGAGAGAGAAGAATACAGAAATGCTGAAGAAAAAACAAACATTTAAACGAAAAGGAATGACAAATAAGGTAGAGAAATAAGACCCCTATTCTATTGATTAATATCTTTTTTACTTGATGTAACATGTTTGTAATTCTTTTAAACTTTCTTTTTCTCTTCTTTCATTGTGTACTTTGAGATCAATGGAAGTATTCAAACAATCATATACTTGTTTATGTGACATTTTTTATGATCTTTATCATAATAGCTTTATTTTATGATTTTTGATGTTTCTACTTTCAAAATTTATTTATTTTATATTACATATGAAATAAATACATTGTTTTCAATGAAATTTAGTAAGAAATATTTCAATATGAGAAACTGTTTTATTAATCATGTGAATATTTTGCAGACTTATTTTAAAGTTTTAGCATCAAGGGTACAGACAGGGGACCTTCAAATTTGAAAAAAGTGACCAAAATTTCGATTTTGAGATTTTTATTTTTTCAGAAAATAGACGTTGTAAGCTTTCAAACAAAAAAAAAATTTTGGAAATCGAGCCCNTTAGTCAGAAATATTTCAATATGAGAAACTGTTTTATTAATCATGTGAACATTTTGCAGACTTATTTTAAAGTTTTAGCATCAAGGGTACAGACAGGGGACCTTCAAATTTGAAAAAAGTGACCAAAATTTCGATTTTGAGATTTTTATTTTTTCAGAAAATAGACGTTGTAAGCTTTCAAACAAAAACAAAAATTTGGAAATCGAGCCCTTTTTTACTGAGATATGAGGATTTTAATTAGGCCACGCCCCTTTGTTTACATTCAGAAAACAGAAGTCGGTTGTTTGAAGTGACACTTCTATATATTATATATCGCCGCACAAAAGTAGTTTTGACATTTGAATCAATGTTTCATTTTTTGGTTGATATATCAATCAAATTTTTTAAAATAAATTAATTTCATGCTTATTAACTTATTTTATGTTATTACTTTAGTGAATTTACTTGCGTTAAATTTTGAATAAGTAAATATGCTTGCTGAGTATTTCCTTTCATAGGCACATATTGAATTGAATTTTCATTCATTTCAACCTAATAATGGAGATAATAGTACAGATATATGCTTAATTAGTCATTTTTTAGATATTATACACAACTAATAGTGTTATTTTAAATACATTTTAAAAATTGCTATTTTCTCGAAATGAAATTTTGACGGATTTTTGTGTTTTCGAAATGCTCCATTTGTCTCAATTTTTAGTTTTTTTGGTTGAAACTTGTTTTATGTGTACTATGTATGTATGTAATTAAAACTTACCATGTTTTGTTACCTAGAACATTGATAAAATTTGTTTATAGTAAAAAAAAGTTTAAGATTTTTTAAATTTTTCCAGAAATTTTCACGAGATACATAAAAAGTGTGTTTTTTGAGCTAGAGCACTATAATTAGCCACTGAATGATGGTAACTTTCATTAGGAAATCAAAAACGAGTCATATAAAAAAAAAGTATGATTCTGCAATGAATTTTAAGCCCCATGGAGTGTTTTGACTTTATCGAAATTCATGCTATTTTAAAATTTTAAAAGTTCAATAACTTTAAAAGTTCAATAACTTTAAAATTTATCATTCAAATTACATGAAATTTTGTATACAGCTTTCTAAAGATATTATAAGTAAATACTGCAAGTTTCATAAATGTATCATAAAAACTCTGAAAGTTGGTTTTTAAGGTCCCCTGTACCCTTAAAGCTATAAATTTTAATATTATAAGAAATAAAATTTAAGACAACATGCAATAGGCAGAAATAGGTATGTTATAATACAATATTATTTTTATTACATATAAATTTTTACCCTTGACATAGAAAAACAAATAATTTTTTTACATACATAAACATATACTTTTATAACCTGAATATGGAGATTCCTTTAAATTAAAAAAAATTCATCAAATATTGGAATTAAACAACTAACTGATACATTTATATACTTTGACTCTCATACTGTAGTGTTTTTCTAGTATTTAATATCCGTCCTTGAACAGCCGGCCCAATGTTTGGGTTTACGACTATAAATGTTCAACTCTGTAGCCTTGTAATTTCGAACCAATCCAGCAGACTCCTGGATCAGTACCCCCTGAGGTAATAATCTGTTATGGGAACATGGAGGACTTTGCGACTCGACAGATTTAATGCGCATCAGTTACTGCATTGGATGTGCATCAGTTACTAGGGGTCTATGTTTTTCTGGAAGGTACCTATTTTGTGAAAATTTAGACATAATTAGTGAAAATTAAAAATTATATTAAAAAATCAACGCAAAAATATGGATTTTTCTTTTCTTATGGGATACAAAAATAAAATTTTAATAAAATGTATTTTGTGAAATTCTCCTTAATTTGAATTTGTGAAACTAGTTTTTCCTAAAGTTTAATTTGTGAAGGTACCGCTAAACCGAAGTAAATTCAGACTGGACAGACCCCTGGTTACTCACCATTTACTACAGTGTAAATCTTCGACCGGCGGGGATCGAACGCACGAACTCTTGAACATGGTCCCAGCGCCCTATTGAACAGGCTATACTGGCCTCTAGTTTCTAGTATGCCACAAACAGGCTGTTGCCAAAATTTTACAACTTCTTTAACACATGTACTGTTACAGATATCGCACAAATTGTTCTCTTTGCCCTATAAATTTAAAAATCCTGTTTGTTTCAGTTGTTTAGTTTAGAAATGAATTTTTTCTTAATATATTCTGAGACAAAGAATGAAAAGAATTTTTACTTATCAACTATTTCAAAAAATTGATAGAAAAAGCCTTTCAGATTTGGCATAATAAAACTGCTTATCAAAGCATAATAAAACTGCTTATCATTTTATTCACTGTTATTAATCTAGTACAGCCTTTCCTATGAAAATGTATTTGATAAAAAAAAAAAAAATAATCATATAAACTATCAAATCTTAAAACCTAAATACTTTCATATGAAACATACAACATAAATACAATCACAAAATTGTAGTAATAGGATTCCTATTTTCAGAGTAAAGATTAAAATAAATTAAAAATATTATTAATAGGGAAATGTAGTTTTACTTCAAAGATTAGGCATACACATTACAAACAAAACCAAGAAAATCGGTCATATCATGAATTTTCCTTAAATACACATTGGGAAAAAAAAATCTTAAACAAAATAGTTAGGTTTGTTGTTGAATTACTAACCAATATCAATTCCATGAAACATTTTATTTTTATTTTTCAGAATTGACAGCAAATCTTCCATCCACAAAATGTAATTTAATCTTTGCGGAACAGTGGGTATGAGAAAACCTTTTGGTATCTCCACCGTAAGGTTGAAATCTTTTTTTAACAATATTTTTGTTAAAATTCTCAAAGCATCTGGATCGGTAAAGTCAACACGAACTTTACCTTTTGCATCAGATAATGCATATTTACGAAATTCGGGGTAGTTCAAAGCAATACGAGCAAAGTCAGGACGATTTTTGTAGATATTACGCTCGTGCATTTGAGAATTGAAAGCCATAACTCAAATTTACAGCTATATTAAAAGATATTTAAAATTAGCGCATTATTTTTTAAAACTTTGTTATGATATTGTTTTGGTTTTGAATTCGTTTCCGGCCTCTTATTTTTGGATTTTTGTAGATTTTCGCCTAAGGAATAAAAGGTCTGTTTTATATGTTGGCAACGATTAAAAGGTTACTATTTTAATTCTCGTGGCTACATTATTTGCTGTTTTACGCCAGCCAGTGCTTTGCTTTTGCACTGCTTTGGCTTCTGTCCACTGGGGACGGAAGACTAGCACCCATGAATGTGATGTTTCTTAAATCAGAATAATATGAATAGCAAATGATACAAAAGACAAGAATTAACAAGACATAAATCACTTTAATAAGAATTCTGTTGCGTGATTAGCTAATAGTTTTTAAGCCTGCCTTAAAATGACCGATTTCATCAGATAATTCGAATTTCAGTTTTTTGCATTTTTGAAAAGAATGAACTCTTAGGATTCTAAAAATTCTTTGTTTTTAAAATTTCGATAATTAGAAGCAAAGTTATAGCTGATTTTGAAACCGGAAGTGAGATTCCGAAACACCGGAAGTGCACTGAAAACGTCAGAACTAATTGTAAACAATGTAGTTTTGAGC